TATATATAAACAATATGTAGTCAACTAAAATACCAAAGTAAGAACAGAGAATGCACCAATAATCTTATAAATATTGCCTAATATTTTTATTTTGATTGACAGAAGATCTTTTTTCTTTTCCCGACCAATCATATAACTAATGAAAGAAGTTTTGATCTGGTTTCCCACTTTTAGGAACCTTTACTAGGTTTGTCAAATAAAACTCCCTGCTTTACTTTACCATGGAGATGTTTAATAGGAATCGCTACCACGTGCATTTGTATTTTGACTAACTATAACTGAAAGGAAATACACATCCTATTTTAGGTCCAAATAAGCTTATGTGTGGAAGATTTTAATAGCTGCCTGGCATGTCTTCCTGTCCGTAGTTCCTTTTTACTTCACTCTATTATATTTCCCTGCGGGACTGCTCTTTATGAGAAACCATATTGGTCTTCTGTTCAACAAGGAGCCCAGTATTCCCCACTGTCAGAAAATAAAGTAGTAAACACATAAAAATAAAACAATAAAACTTTGTAAGTTCCCAGACCTCCAAATTGCCTGCATGTAACCTTTCTGACTTGATTTTCCTACATAAATCCTCCATGCCAACCTCATGATTCATCATCACCTCTAAATGCCCTAAGTTTTCCATTGAGGAGCGTTTCGTTTATTCGCTTATTTGTACATACAGCAATGCTTTTGTCCTTCTGATTCACACTGAAACACATTAAATTGCATCTCCATAAAACTTTCCCAAGCCAGCCTGAAGAGAGAAGGCAGAGTCCCTTGCCTAGTGTTGCCACACGGTTCACTCAGACCCACTCTGTAATGCGTGGTGATACTTCTTCAGTACTGCCTTAATTTACACTGTCATTTAATCTTTCACAAATGTGTCTTGCTTCTTTAAATTCCCTGACGCCAGAGACGAGTTGTTACTCCACGTTATACACAGAACTTTATGCGTAATCGGTATTTGTTTATTGACTTAGGTTTTCAGACTGAGCTTTCATAGCTAAAGATTTATCAGTACTTTTTTCTCAAAGTCTTTTCCCTAATTTCTAAACATTTTCTATTTTTACTCTAAAATCTTTTCTACACCAATTGGGAGTCTACTGTTTACAATGTATTTCATAAATATGCACTTCGTTATTCCACTATATTGTAACCATTTTGAGACCAGTTCTGTTCCTCCTTTGTATCTCCTGTTATACCCTGTGAGGGTCAAACATAGGGTAGGTATTTTGTAAATTTGAGAAAATGGTGAATTGAACTTCCAACTAAAGGGCCAAGGTGTTTTTGCTGTCAGGAACCAAAGCAAGTTATAAGAGACATGATGCAGAATGTAACAATAAACGCAGATAATAGGTCTCCGGCTTTGAAACGTGTATCTTTATCTCGAAGGTATGTGAAGTTCCTGGAGAGGCAGTGGAAGCATTGGGTGTATAAAGAGTTTTCTCTGGAAAGAAACCCTGCTGTGTTACAAGTTGTACAGCTCCCTCATGTTTCCAGCCGAAAGCTGCATTTCAGCTCCAAGCAGAGTGACAGTGGGTGCAAGGACAGTTTCAGTGTCATCTAAACTTAGGATGAGGAGAGAATCATTAACTTAGATTCCTTGAGGAATCTAAAGATGAAAGACTGTGGTTCATAATCCAAGGCGGAGGGGGAGGCAGCAGTCAGTGGTCCGTGTAAAAGGGAACTTCCAGCCGGCCTGTGTCGGATGAGGGAGGGCTGACGGAGACAGTAGGTGAAGAAAAGTAAACGCCAACAAACCAGTGGCTGTGGCTGAAGGAGCAGGGAAAGTGGGAGCAGGCGGTCTGCCTTACAGGTCCCTGGAGTAAGTCTTCTCTAGAGGCTCCAGGTAACTTAGAAAAATCAACCGTAAAGGCCTTCCAGACTCAGAGGACATGGAGCATCACCAGGCAGGCCACAGCTTCCCAAAGCTCTTTCTTCGTCACTTCTCCACAGACTCTAGTTTTCTGGGATCCAGATCACTTGCAAGTGAGTATGGAGTAAAAGTGTGGACAAACGGGAAACAAGGGCAGAGGCCTGCCAAGTCTTCCCCTCTAGACAGCTTAACGTTGGCCTAGCAGACAAAGAAAGAGAATTTATTTAGTTTTAAATCGCACTCAGACATATTTTTGTGACTGGCTATTTTAATTATTGTGAGTTTTTCAAAATTTATTATGAATCTATTATCTAACAATAATTATAAAATTCATACAGTCTTCTGGAGATTTTATCCAGAGAGGAAAAAAAATCTCCACTCCATTAATTATGCTAACTAGAGTCCCTTTGACTATAACTTATGAGCTGTTCAGTATTCCTCTTAATTAAACAATGATTGATTATTTTTTGTTTTCAAAATCCTATAAAAATTAAAGCAAAATATCTTCTAATAAAAAGTTTAAGCTCTTCACGAAGTCAGTTAAAAGAAACTTGCATTTCATTTAAATGAAACGTTCCTTTAAAATTAAGCTGTACCTGTGATTTTCATGTAAGCTCTCTCTAAGGGTGAGTAAGTAACAGAATAATTCACTTCAGTTCTATCCCTTCTATTTGTCAACTGTTTTAAAACTAGAGCTGTACAGACACTATGGGAGACACTGGAGAGGATTATAGTAACTTCGCTACTTGCACAGAACTTAAGTTTGAATTAACAAAGGTTGTATCAAAGTAGCTTTCATATCGGAAGATATCAGTACAATAGGATCCAACCGAGGGTCGAAGTATGTGTCACATTAATGGAGGTGCACAGTGAAAGATTAACCCTGATTAAATGGATCTGAGGACATACACAATAAGAGTGCTTGTCAGATCAAACTATAGGAATTATAAAATATTTATTATGTTAGAAAAATCATCATTCATTTAAAAAATTAATTACCAAATGCCAAATATGAGCAAGCACTAAGCAAGTATCAAATATATTAATGAATAAAATGGACATTTTTTCCTTCTCACATGGACCTCACAATCTAATGAGATTCTAGACTATTATGCTGTCTATATAAATATTTTGATAAACAAAATTATCCAGTTTATGGGCTACCTATGTCTGCACTTTCTAGATTGACTCTTTCAATGACCACAGCACTATTCAAATTTTTTCAATATGGGGTAATTCTTTTGGTTGTTATTCTTAGTAATGGCAGAAACTTACAGAGAATTTACTATATACTAATGTGATGAGCATAGTACATGATTTAATTCACTTAATCTTTTTAAAAGACTTGTGATATAAATACTAGTATTGACCCCGTTTTATAGATGAGGAACTTGAGAAACAGAAAGTCAACCTGCTCAAGATCACATAACACTGTCGGGATAGGATCCTTGCTATGGTTTAGAACTAAAACGTGCCACTCAAACCCACGTGTTCAGAGGTTGGGCTTTAAGTGGTTGGATCATGAAGGCTCTAACTTCATCATCGTATCTTCCCAAGAGATGAGACCAGAGTTTCACGGCAGTGTTAGAAGGTGATGGAAGCAGAGTGGGGCTGAAATGAACGGAGCAGATTATGCGGTTGTGATTATGGGGACTACATTTGGCCCCAGTCCCTTCCTCCCTGGATCTTTCCCTTTATGCCCATTTCCTGGTTCTCATGAGATAAGCAGCTTCTATCTTATCATGGGTCTAAATGCAATGGAGTCAGAAAACCCTGGACTCAGCCTCTGAAACTGTGAGACAAAATAGACCTTCCCTCCTCTGAGTTATTCTCAAGTATTTTAACACAAGAGAAACCTAACACAAGTGTTTTGACTAAATTTTTAAAAACATACATTTGCCCCCAGAGTTCAGTGGGAAAAATAAGACACACGAACTAGTAAAACAATAAACAAGAGGGCTGGGGATTTAGGTCAGTGGTGCTGTTGCCTGCCTTGCAAGCGAAAGGTCCCAAGTTCGATCCCCAGTACCAAAAATAAACAAACAAACAAGAATGGACTAAGTTATCAGTTAAAAGAACAGTGTTGCACTGGATTTTTAAAATTTAATTTGTTTAGGATCACATCGTACAAGCGCTTGGCAAGTTAGATTTTGAACTTTCTAAACTTCAATTTCTTCTGGGAAAAAGAACTCAGAATATCTGCCTTCAAACTTCAGATACTATGGTGAGTGCAAGGATAATAGTGTAGATAAAGATGTTGGGGAAAACACACTGTTCCACATATTAGAAAATTTTTTTACTATTTATTCATTTGAATTTACCATCTCTCTTATAGTATTATATCTCTGGTATTTCTGCTCATTGTTTGATGAAATAAATTCTTTGTTTTTGTTTTTTTGTTTTATTTTGGTACTGGGGATCGAACTCAGGACCACGAGCTTGCCAGGCAGGCAGGTGTGGTGCCCCTTAGGTACATCTCTGGCCCTGATGAAATAAATTCTAATAATTCTCTTTTAGATATCTTTCTTTGACTATGAATTAGGGAAGAAAAAATTAAAGTGTGAAGTCAAAATTAGAAGCAGGAATTTGTTGTGAGATTTGATCTGATTTTATCTGGAATTGTCTGGAGAAGAGGGAACTGGGGTCTTCCTGTCACCTTAAAACCTGTATATGGTAAGAAATGTTGAATTTATACCTGGAAAACTTTGGTTTTGGAATTATGGAAAAGTACAAAACAGAAGGCAAAAGTACCACTCTGTAATAGAATAGAGTGAAATAGCAGGATAACAAAAGTCCACAGTTATGTAATCATTTGTATCTAGGAGCATTGCTAGGAGAAAAGTTTCTTCTTTCCATTTTTATGACATTTAGTGTAAGGCGTGTTTGGCAATGTTAGATTGAACCACTCACTGTAATTAACAGTATTTCTAGTGGATGAATTCAAAGTCTGCTGTGACTGCTCTTCTCTGTGCAACATGGATGCAATGATACAATTGATTTTGGTTTTCCTCAAGAAATATATTCCATTACAGTCCTAAGCCAACTCTGTGCTTCTGGAAGATAACACATAAAATTGTGTGGTTTCTATTTATGATCTGAATATGCATGATTTTCACTTATTGTTCCTTACTTAACAGGGATTCATTGTGAAGAAGACATCAATGAATGTTTCTTAAAGCCTTGCCAAAATGGCGGTACCTGTGAGAACTTGCCTGGAAATTACACTTGTCATTGCTCATTTGATAACATTTCTAGAACATATTATGGAGGCCAAGACTGTTCTGAGGTTCTCTTGGGCTGCACACATCACCAATGTCTAAATAATGGAATTTGCATCCCTCACTTCCAAAACGGCCAACATGGATTCAGCTGCCTGTGTCCGCCTGGCTATACTGGGTCACTATGTGAAACTCTCACCACACTTTCATTCGAGGGCAGTGGCTTCCTGTGGGTCACAAGTGGCTTGCATTCAAGCCACGGCTCAGTTTGTAGCACTGCCTTCAAGTTTCAGACTGTTCAGTCCATGGCACTTCTACTTTTCCGGGGTGACAGAGACACGTTTGCAAAGCTGGAGCTCTTAAGAGGCCACATTCACTTATCAATTCAAGATCGTAATCGGTCAAAGGTGCTTCTGAACATTTCTCACAGCACCAGCCATGGGGAGTGGCACTCGGTGGAGGTGATATTTGCAGAGGCTGTGACCCTTTCTTTAATGGACAACTCCTGTAAGGAGAAATGCATCATTAGAGCTCCTTCTCCATTTGAAAGCTATCGATCCATATGTGCTTTTCAGAACTCTTTTTTGGGTGGTTTTACCATCGGAAATGACCGGAGGTGATGTTACACTTAGCATCTATGATATAGCATTCACACCTTCATTTTTAGGCTGTCTCCAAGACATTAAATTTGATTCAAATCATGTTACCCTGGAGAACATTTCATCCAATGTGTCATTAAATATCAAGGCAGGCTGCATGAGAAAGGATTGGTGTGAAAGTCAACCTTGTCAAAATAGAGGACGCTGCATCAACTTGTGGCTTGGCTACCGGTGTGACTGCTACAGGCCGTACGCAGGCCCCACCTGTCTGAGAGGTGAGAGAAAGCTGAGCTCCCAGGAGGGCTGTGCCTCTGGGCGGAGCAACACAAAGACAGACAGCCTGCTTCTTTCTGTTATGAAACATAATGTCCCCGTGCGATTTATGCTGCTATTTGTTCACTAGTGAGGAAAGAAAAGAAAGGAAGTGTTGTGTATTAACTTTGAGTGAGTTCATAGGACATCTGAGTGAAACTCAGAAGTAAAAAAAAAAAAAACAAATAAAAACAGCAGATAGCCCCTGTCCAAATTGATTTTCATCTTGGTGTTGACAACATGCTCTTAGAAATTTTACCATGTGTTACATATCAGAGATTTATTGTAAATCTTTTTTTTAAAGGAGAATCTTTTAGACAAAAAAGGGCTGCTACAGACTAAACTAGTCAGTGCCACATACTAGCAGAGTATCTGTACTTGTAGATTCTTGGTAAATATTCACGTCTTTGCTCTCTTTTCTATGCAATTAATCCTTGTCCCAAAATCAGCAGTTTATAAATTTACAAACCACCAATTTTATTCAAAGGCATCATCTCCGGGACTGCCTGGGGAAAACAAATAGATGTCTCAAGAAAAATAAAAGAAAGTGAAACTCTGTAAATGCCATAAATGAATTGATCTGATTTCTCTAGCAAGTCATACTTTGAAATGTATTTCAGAGTCTTTTATTTTGAACATCATTGCAAAGATAGCTGCTGATAGTGATCAATATCTACTCGTATTATTATTATTATTATTGTTATTATTATTGTCACACATTGAAAAAAACCTGAGAGGTTATTATAATTGACTGCTTTGAAGTTCAGCTCTAATTTACTCCAAGATTTCAGAACAACTTGAAGTAGGACAACATCTGGTAAATAGTCTTCTCTGCTTTATATAAAGTAAAATTAAAACCAGTCTTAGCCCATACCCTACTCCATGCTCAAATGGCTAAGAATTATTAGAAACTATTCACGAGTTTCTCCCTGACCACAATATTCATTACAAATCATGGACCTGTTTGACAATGAAGTATGACATCTACTCACTCTATGCAATATTTTAAATGGAATGGCAAGTTGTTTTGTGATTTTTTTTTTTTAAAGGAGAAAAGGGGAAATTGTGCTGAGGCAGTGGTTCACTTTTTGAAGAAAAATTTAATTGACCCAAGGCAATATTTTTACTACATATACAAAATAACAAACAGATGCTGACTTATTTTGACTGGCTTCCAGATGCAGTGACCCATGAGGTTAATACTGACCACGGTGATACTAACTGTCCCAGTAAATATGTTCAAGAGATGCCAGCCAAGTGTGCTCTGGTTTTCTTTAGTTTATTTTACCCAACTTGGAAAATTGTGAACTTTTAAAACCAAGTTCTTGAATTGGTTACACTTCCTTACTGCCTCCAGTACCCCTATATAATTTGAAACTATTTAACCCCCCCCAAGAATGTTTGGCTTTAAGAAATTATAGAGAGTGAGTTTTGTAAAATCTTTTCTTTCTGAAAATTCTTCGGATAAATTTAAGAGCAGTTCCATTTTTCATATCACTTCTTGGTCATGAAACCAAAATATTCTGCATTGGCTGTTATCTACGAAGAATGTTTTCCTGGAGTCTGTTCCCACTATAAAGCATGCTGCAGTGCAGTAATGAGAACTTGGAGCCACTGTTTCTGCACAGGTATATTCAAGAGGGAGGAGATGTTCTAAAAAACGCAAAGACAAACTTCACCCAAATCATGATTTGGGCACAGTGTTTCCCGATCATGGTACATACTGCAAGGAACAAGTAAAGCAGGATTGGACATTTAGTTAGTTGATTAAACACAAAAGATGCAGGGATTTCCAGTATTTTGAACTTGACCTGTTAAAATCGCCCAGGCTCTCAAGCAGGACAGTTCTGGGAAAGGTTTCCCTAAGAACTACCCACAGAACTGTCTGTGAGGTTATCTCAGAGTGTCTTGTGTTGACTGCATACAGAAACGTGAAGTTTCTGAGATAATTATTCAGATTTCTCATCTACCTTTTACACTCTGAAAAAATGTTTGGCTTATGAAAGCAACCTACATATGCTTTACCTTCTGTTTTACACCCAGGCTTTGGGAATTTTATATAGAAGACGCTTCATTCTGTGATTGAACTTTTTACACTACTGTACCTGCCTACTGTAGTGTCCAAACCTCTGCTTAGAGATCTTCGTGAACACAGAACTCAGTCTATCCTGGGGAAAAAAATACCAAATAGTTCCTCTCATATATTTAAATGAAATATGATTTATATGATCTCTTTCTCATTTACCATATTTTAATTCTTGAAGATGTTCTTATAAATTCTAACATTTCTTCTTGAGAATATTTATGTGTTTGAAAAGGAGTGTCTTGTTCTAGGCAAGCCTTCACTTCTATCACGCTACACACCCCCGCGGCTTCTGCTGTTCCCACAAGGCAGTCTTCAGACCCTTCCGTACCTGCTTGCTGGCTTTGGAATACAGTTGCTTATCTGTCTTCTTTCTAAAATATGCTGTCTGGGTGTCCTTGGTGATAAAGAGTGACACTGGATCATAACCTCTCTTATTCTATACAGTGTGCCTCTGCTTTGCAGCTTAATATTACCCCGATTTTCTGGCAGTCCTATCATGCGGTTGCTTTACTGTGAGTCATTTTCACCCATGATGTGGCAGAATATTGTTTCTCCCACCCTGTGTCCATGCGGCACATTTAGATCTAAGTGTCTTTTATTTATTCTCATTAAATTTCGTCTCGTATTCCATCAACCATTAAAACTTGTCGAAATTGTTTTTCACTTTCTATGCTACTCATCTTTGGGACCTGTCACTGGCATGTCTGAGGAGCATTCCTTCCAGGGCCACGGCTGAGTCCGCTGTGGCTTCGGGTGTTTCTAAAGTCAGGTAGCACATCACACACTCTGACTACCACCTGCTTGTGATTTCCCAAGATTAGGATTACCAGAGAGTCGGGATTTCAAGGAACAGAGAAAAAAGTTCTGTGTTCTGCCTTTTAATCTGGAGCCACAGAGTGATGCTGCAGGCATCGTATGATGACCGGCAGGGCTTCCTCTCCCGGAGGTTGATTCTGTGGACATCCTCAAACCTCAAGGGCTTCAAGAGCCAAATTTTCTTATTAAGCATTTTATCTCATATGAAAGTACTGCGGTGTATTCAAAAATGTTAACCTTTTCCAAGGTGCTGTTTTATCTAACAGTACACTTTGAAAACTACCTGTACTTGCCTAAAGCAGGTGGTCTTGAAATGAAGATTCAATATGCAATGTTCCTGTTGGAAGTCAAGTCAAGAGTTCTGACAAACGAGGCTGTTTATGAAGGGGGGACTTCAGGTTGCCCAAGCAAGTTTCACCATAGTTCAGCTAAACGAAAATATGTCTTACCTTGTGCCCACGTTTCAGCTGGACCATGTGATGACATTTAAGTGTAAAAGAATAGGATTTCTGATTATGACTGAGATGTGAAGACCTGAAGATGACAATCTTTTTAAGACATGATCTTGCCAAGTTCATTGATGATCCCTAGGTTGCAAAATTTAACGGTCAACTCTCGGCCCTTTCTTTCCTGGCCACTCAGTAACTGTTCACAGAGTTGAACACCTTATTCCCCTGAGAACTCTTTCCCCCTTATGCTTCTGGGCCATTCCTGTCTCAGGGTTCTCCTCTTGTCTTCCTGGCTGCCCCTCCATCTCCTTTGCTTCCAACTGTATGGTGTTGTACCTCTTCTGTTCTGTCTTTATATTCGTTCTCATAATCTTAGTCTTGTCGCTTGAAGTCCCTTACATGCACTGAAAATTCCCAAGTTATCAACTCAGAACATCTTCCCTGAACCTCTGTGTCAACTAGCAATTAGTCACCCCCACAAGGATATCTTCTAAGGCGTCTCAAACTAATATGAACTCCCGCCCATGCCCAGTGTGTCCCTGTACTTTTCTTCTTCATCTCTACAAATCCTCACCTCTTCAAGGTGTCTAGGTGTTTGGGCCAAAATATCTTGTTTGTTCTAGAAAATCCTACTGGCGCTACCTTCAAACTATTTTGAGAACCTGATCACATCTCACCACCCCACACGACCACTGTACTAAGTCATCATCATTTGTCACTTGAATTACTACAGTTCTGTCCCTATTTTCTTTGGTTTTTGCACAAATGTCATTTTCTGAGTCAGTTCTTTCCTGACTACTCCATTTAAAATTACAACTCCACCTCTTAATCTTCCTATTTGCTTTCTCTTTCTAATTTGTCTTATGCCAAGTGTTACCACCTTGCATACTATATAGTTTGCTTCTTTGTCTGGTGTGTCTTTCCTTTACTCGAATACAGCATAAACTTCCTAAGGTGAGAATATTTATTCCCACTATATCACCAAATATTATGTCAAATGACATTTTTTCACATCGCAGGAGTCCTTTGGAGATGATGCCCATGGATACTATTGCCACAGCCATATAATCCTGACTCTTCTGACCACAGGAAATGCTGGATGGGTTCAGTAGATTGTTTTCTCCCTGTTTCTCTCTCTACAGTGCCTCTCCTCCTTCCCAACTCGGACCACAAAAGAGTCCTCTTCTCCCTTTATTCAGTGCCATATCTTTTATTATGAGGGCTTCATCTCTGAGGATGATTTCCTACTCTCATTCTGAATTTCTGTCCTTTACCAAAAATCCTTGGCTTTCATGACACATCGGCTTCACGTCTTCCAAATGGCACACAGGACTTCCTGAAAGAGCCAGCCTGCAGATGGTACCTGAAATACTCTTGCCCTAAAATTTCTTCTAGGACATTGCGTTATCAGGTGTCTGACATTTCACCATATAAGGTCCAGTATTTTATGGCAGTGAGGGGGAAGTTCTTTAGTTTATCAGTAAAGAAATATTTTGGTTTTTGCTTAATGAACCTCAACCATAAAGTATAAACCAAAATGCAGTTAGTTTAACTCAGAAGCTCAGAAAAATGAGGCCAAATTGTTATTATATTGAATCATTCTATCCTGAGCTTGAAAACGCATGAGCGTATGTCTGTAAAATGTTCATGTTCTGTCCCTTCTTACTTTTGAGGCTTAAGATGTTTCTTTTATTATTTCCTCCCAATTTCAACACGGAAGAGTACATGGCAGGCAGATTTGGCCAAGACGACTCTACCAGATATGCTGTCTTTAAGGTGGAAGAGAATTACGGACAGAACTTCAGCCTCTCCATGTTTGTGCGAACACAGAGACCGTCAGGCTTCCTTCTATCTTTGGAAAACAGCACTTATCACTACATTCGTGTCTGGCTAGAGTGTGGCAGATTAGCATTGCTGACTCCGGGTGCTCCAAAATTCCTAGTAAAATTGGTTCTAAATGATGGAAATGTCCACTTAATATCTCTGAAAATCAAGCCAAGTAAAATTGAACTGTATCAGTCTTCACAAATGCTAGGATTGATTTCTGCTTCTATGTGGAAAATCCAAAAGGGAGATGTCATCAACATTGGTGGCCTGCCTAACAGGCAACAGGCCGAAGTTAATGGTGGGTCCTTCAAAGGCTGTATCCAAGATGTAAGGTTTAACAGCCAGAAACTGGAATTCTTCCCAGATTCAACAAACAATGCATCTCACCATCCAGTTCTTGTCAACGTGATCCAAGGTTGTCCTGGAGACAGTGTTTGCAAGGTAGGATTATTCATATAGCTAGGTACGTATTGTATGCTAAATTACTGTTTTATGAAATATATAACTCATTAAAACAATTCTTTGTAAACAATGTCACAAAGATGCTGTCACTAACGCACCAAAGGATAGCATTCTGTCTATATGTTCCCAGACAAACAGGGATTTACACTGAGACGTAAAAAGACAGCCTTGTGCTGGTGTCCTGGTGCATTTGACAAGCAAACTAGCTCCAGTTACATGGTTCCCTCCAGCAATCAGGACACTTCACAAGAAGAATGTCTTAATTCCTAGACTCTAATGGCATCCAAAGTTTTAACTGAACTCTTTTGGGGAGGTCTCTTTATCTTGAATGCCCAGCTCTTGTTGTTTTAAACTTTTATTAAGTCAAAAGGATTTTTTAAAAATCTGAAAGGTAATTTGGATTTGAAATCCTCTGAAATATAATTTTCAGAGCCCTTTTTTACTTCACTTCATTCGTATCCTCTTCTAAGAGGTTCTTTAAATGCATAAAACTGTCAGCTCTGCAGGAGTTTTCAAAGGAAACAGAGGAACTTACTGAGCTGAACATTTGTTGAGCTCCAAATATTATTGTACCCTACACAGAGTCCTAAATATACACAAATGAATCACTGCGACATTATTTTGCAAACATTTCTCATGTACCCAGCACTACTCCACAAGTATTAACCCTTTTAGTTCTGTTCCAGGACAACTGTATAAAAGAGGCATTGCTATCACTCTCTATGTTATTTACAGACAAAGAAACTGAAATTTAGAAAGGTTATGTCAGGCTAGGGTGTAGCTCAGCAGTAGAGTACATGCTCAGCATGCACATGACCCTTATTTAGACCCAGTACAAACAAAACAAACACCAAGAATAACAGGTTTATGTAACCAGCCTACATCACGTTAATAGCAGACCAGCGAAAAATAGTGTCTAGGCTTTAAGATTTCTTTTTGTTTTATTTTGATGCTACTTTTTAAGGGACTTTGGAAGAACTGAAATAATAATCATATGTCTCTGATTCATAGGCAAAGCCAACAAGGAGAGAGGGCATTGAATTGGGACCCAGAGCAATTAGGCACCAAGCTTCATTATTTTGCTTCTTTATAGGACCTTCAGCAGTTGGAAGGACATCAGCATCTTCATCAGTAAAAACAGGAGTAATAATTCCTACCTCATGCGATAGCGCAGGTGAAAGTGCTTGTTATGGTTTGGGTCTAGCTGTCCCCCCAAAACCTCATGTGGTCATAGGCTGGATCTAGAGTGTGTAAAGCTGGAATTGATTCATGTTGCAACTCTAAACTCAAGGGCACTAGGATTAAGGGTGAGAGTGCTACCCACTCTAAGTAGTCTGGATAAGATAAAAGGGGCAGAGAGAGGCTGTTAATTCTCGTTACCTTTGCTGCCTTGTGTGTGTGTCATGTTGTTTCTGCTCTGCATTGGAGAGGACTGATTATGGACTGAAACCTCTACAAACCGTAAGCCAAATAAACCCCTTTCCCTCTAACTTTGGGTGTCTGGTATCTTGTCTCGGCAAACAGAGAAATGTGACTAACACAGTGCTAAATAATTTGTAAATCAGAGAACACTGTTACACTTCAAAGATCTTTCTTGTGTTATAGGTTGATTTTATATTTTCTCTCTCTTTTTTCTCTCCTCACCTCCGTCATTCATTTCCAAGCTTCTCCTTTAGAAAAGTCAGTTTCATTTGATACAATTAAGTGCCTATCAAAGTTTACCATCTAAAGGTGTGGGGAGATTGGTATTTTAAAACAACAGATGCATGCTCTCGCTCTTCATATTTCCATGGGTATTTTCTAGTGCTCTTTCAAGCCTGTGATTTCTCTTCTGCTCAGTCCAACCCCTGCCGCAATGGTGGTGTCTGCTATTCCTTGTGGGAAGACTTCTTCTGTGCCTGCCCTGTGAACACAGCTGGGAGAGGCTGTGAGGAAGTAAAGTGGTGTGATTTCAGTCCATGTCCTCCCAGCGCCCACTGCCAACTGGTGTCCCAAGGCTTTGAATGTAGGTGAAGTTCAAGACTATCATCCATCCAGTTAAGTTGGTGTATTTCAATGTCCAAAGAGAAACAGTAAAATAAAAAAGATACAGACACAGACAACTTTTTGAAGAAATGTGTGTTCATTCCCTATGTGAGCATTCTGATAAACCTGGTACAATAGTATAATGGCCTGGATTAGTCTCTTGCCTCTTCCTGCCCTGGGTGGCTGGATGGAAAATTGACATCGGAACACAAAACCCAGATCCTTGGTTATCTGAAGGTAAGGTATGAAGAATAAGCCAGGTGATATTTACCTTCCCCATCCTCATGACCCAGAAGAAGTGTAACTAGTCTAGTACTAACCTTGCTGCCATTTCTTAACTACGAAAGTCAGGTAATTCAGGTGACTTCCTTAAATAACCTAAAGCTTTCTCTCTTGTAAAACAGCATGAAAATATCTACTTTGTAGGCTTCTTTGTGATGATAATATATATTATGCAGGCAATCAAACAGATTAGGCACCAGGCTGAGGTTTGCAATGACCATTTCTCTCCATGTGAGAGATTTTCCAGATCCTTTCAGTACTTGAACACACATGTTCTCAAATGTCAGCAGTCTGAATATTACATTCACAGCTTTGACATATTCACATACTAGCCATGCTGTCATTCCTTCTTCTTCGAGTGATGCACAGCCTCCTCAATAGTCAAACATGGTATTAATTGAATTTTAATCTCTTCCCGCATTATTCAGAGATTCTTCTTCTAAAGATCTTCTCTCACGCTCCAACACCAGATTGACCGTCCGTTGTCCTACAAGCATACCATGAAATTTCCCCATGACAAAAGATTTTCTTGCATCTCCCTCACCACATTCCCACCTTCCACCTTCCCATTCCTCTGCTTTCTGCTGTGGAGAAATTTCTTTTTTTAAAAAAAAAAAGCTACAGAATCATTCTCAATAGAGTCCTAAGCTTTGTACACTTCTCCACCTGCCTGGTCAGGCTCCAGCCCACCGTCAGTGCCCTCACCTTCACCTCTCTTCAACCAGGTTCTCTTCGCAGGTTCTCTTCTTCCCTGCATTTAAATTTCAGCCCAAACGTCCTCCTATGCGGCTTTTCTTAATATATATATTTTTTATCATTTTCTAATATTGTTACATGTATATTTGTTTATTTACTTATCTTTTCTTTCCTTAGTGGAATATAACCCTCATAAGGCAAGCACAATACCTATGTGGTTTCTCAAGTTACTGTTATCCCTTAAGCTGGCAATAAATAAATGAATACATTGACTTATTTTTCTTTGAAATAACTCAGTATTTTTACTTAACTATTGTAGACATTAACTATATCATCTGTTTACATTAAAAATATACATAAAAGATCTTATAAAAACACTGTCCTAAAATAATGGAATGGAATTAGAGAACAGAATGTTCTTTGGTTTTATTACCAACATTCTACTTAGATTTGGCCCAAATCAACTGAGGAAAAGACAAGAGATTTAGCTTCATTTTTCTATATTTGAAAAAATATATTAATAATCTACAACAATCTATATGAAGCACGGAACACTGTACATATATTTGGGGAAACAATAGGAATATATATGTTTATACTCAACATTAAGGAAGATATACTATATACAGGTAAAAAAACATGACGTGTTGGCATAAAGAACACAACTTCGTTTTTAATGTGGCCTAGAAGTTTACTCAGTTTATTTATTTTTATGGTGCTGAGAATCAAACCCAGGACCTACTTACATGCCAGCAAGCTGCTTTAGCACTTAGCCACACCCTCTCCCTGGCACAGATTTTAAATCCACCATTTTCCATTGTTCTACCTCTGAGAAACTTGTTTAAAATGACCCGTTAACTGTAATTTTATTGTTCATCTTTTGATAGAATACTAATGTTGCTAGTCCCACTCTGTTCTACAATAAGATTCAAATTATTCTGAACATTTTCACAGGGGAACAAACATGGGATTTCTAAAAATCAGTGATCTCTCACGAATGAGCGATAGTGACTGACTCCCATGGCACTTAAAGCAGCTTGGGGCTTGAACACAGCCCTTAGACGGAGGTGTGGTGAATCTTTGTTGCTAAAGCCCAGCTGCTGTAGAAAGACTAGAACATCTGTCACCAACCCCTCACAAACCCCAACAGCATTCTTTTCAAAGTGTGGCTTACTTTAGTGAGCAGACAAAAATGTAAATCGATAGGCAATTTACAACATGAATTGTACACCCACTTCCTAATTGACAGGTATGAATCTAGAATTTGTTTTGGCTTTTTCTGGTACTCTTAATTTTATCATCTTATGATGGGATTGTGTTTTCTTGTCAAATGAAAAATATCGAGAAGACTAAATCTAACAGAACAACACACTCTTGAGAGTAGAGCTCCTACATTACCCTGAGTTTGTCTTCAGAACTTTAATCATTTGTATCACTGTATCTTATCAAGATTAAAACTCACCTTAGATACAGATATTTATTATGTCAAAGCTCCAGACAAAAGGTCGAAGGATTAACATTGTGCATATTTCAGTCTAACCAGATCACAGAAAAGTGATCTCCGTGTTTTCAGCAGAACTGGTGAAATACGTTTATATAGTATTTATATAGAAGATTTTCTACTGCTATGGTTTCTAATCATTACTTTACTTTTCAAAACCAATGGTGGAGTTCTCTTTTATAGATTGTTTATTTAATAATGTTTACTGAGCATCTACTATATGTCAGGCACTATTCTATGCATAAGAACTGAGCGAGATCCTGGACAGAAAAGAAGTGTGCTCTCATAAAGCTCATATGCCAGTGCAGAAGGAAAGTCAAAGAGCAAGCAGACAAGCAAATTAATTTCAAACAGTAACAGGAGCTGTTGAAAAATAACAGGAATGGTATAGACAGTGCCTGCAGGAAGGAAGTTTTTTAAACTTGGACGGCCACAGAAAGCTTCTTAGAAAAGGTGGTGCTGAGCATATAGCAGCACTGAGCAGGAGTCAGGTATGGAAAGGCCTGGGGGAGGATATTCTCGGTTTAAGTAACAGTAAGTTAAAAGGTCCTCCCTGGGAACAAGCTTGTTGTCCTCCGCGAATAGCAAGATGTGACGTGAATGAGGAAGAGAGTGGAAGGAATTAAATCAGAGAGTTAATCAGGGTCAGGCCACATAAACCCTTGTGGGTGTTGTTTCGAATTTCTTTCTCCATATGATGATGCTAATGAGGGTCCTGAGATGAGAAGTGGCTGTTAGTCATCCTCGTGGCCAGAGAAGTAAGAACACTGAGGAGTAACCAGTCTATATGAAAGATGATATTCGCTGGCTGTAGTGTCTGAAAAGTAAGGTAACAGCAGTATTTCAAGGTCAATTACTACCAAAGATGGGAAAATGAGAGTAGTGAATTTACCTCTGGCTGTGTAACACCAAGATCACTGTAACCTGAGAAGTGGTTTCAGTGAAGAGATTGGGACAAAATCCTGAGTGGCATGCATTAAAATAAGACAGGAAACGAGAAAGTGAAAAGTGAGAATATAAAACTATTAGGAGTCCAAATGATAATGAGAGCAGAGGAATAAGAAAGCAGAGAAGAGGGATGCCAGTGAGTGCTTTGGGATCTTGTATGTGTGTGATTTTTTAAAGATCAGAAGCATTATAAAGTATTTCTACATTTAAAGGACAAAAACAGAAAGGGAAGGGAAATGTAGAGCACAGAAGAAGAAAAGATGCACAAAAGAATCACACCTAATAGGGATGAAATTGAATGGGACTCAGTACGTGACTGGAAGGTGACCTCAATATGAATAAGCACAGCACAGCCATTATAACAGGACGGAAGACCACGAGGTCCAGACCTTGTCGGGTTTACAGATTTCACAGAAAACTATGGCTGTTACTCCTCTTATCTTCTCAGGAACGACACAGGAGGTCATACCCCAAGACGGTGTTAGACATTTTAAAAAATAAAGCAAGCTATAAATTAGTGATCTTGTGCAATGGGAAAAAACATTTTTAATGAAGAAATGCAATAAGATTGCCCAAAAGTACTATGCTCCCATACAATACATGGGCATAAAGTGCGGACAATTGATGTGGCTGTGTATTTTTTCCCAAGCACATAAAGCTACTTGGTTATAGGGAGACAGATGGTAGCTTAGCATAGAACTGGAATTTCACCAGGTAAGTAAATCAGTTAGCTACCACTAACTGCCTGCTGGTCAGCTTAATCAGGAGCCAGAATGTACTGTTAACTTGCTGTGTCACCATAGCTAGGTTTCTTTCATTGTGTTGAGTTTCTTTATGTGTTAAATGGATAAATCAATGCCTTCATTATTGAAACAAATGAAAAATAAAAATTGTCATGGCTTAGGCTTTGAATGAAAAGGAAACATATAGAGTTTGGAGTTTGGTATCAGGCCGTCCGCATTTAACATCCAGCTTTATTATTTACTTATATCTATCAGCAATTACTTAGCGTCTTTGAGTCTCGATTTCTTCTTTCATAAAAGGATAACTACAATGCCTATGCTGAAGATCTCTGCACTAAAAACAATACAAAAGCAACTAGGAAAGCACCTGCTACAGAGTGCAGCAATCAGCATATGATGTCACTAACGTAATGATCCTTATTAATAATGATATTAAGTAAATGTTATAGATTTAATAAAGTCAATGATTAATTTTGCCTTCTCGCTTTAGGTATCGCAAATTCTGTTTTGAGTGGACAGAGAAGTGAAGCATTGTTCAGAAGCAATGGGAATATTACCAGAGAGCTCACTAATATCACATTTGGTTTCAGAACAAGGGACACCAATCTGAGAATACTGCATGCTGAAGAGGAGGCTGCGTTTCTCAATATTAGCATCCAAGATTCCAGATTATTTTTTCAGTTGCAAAGTGGCAACAATTTCTCTATCCTGCACCTGAGAAGTTTACAGTCAGTGAATGACGGCACATGGCACCCAGTGACTCTTTCCATGACAGGTCCCCTGGCCCAGGCCTCCAGGTGGCAGATGGAACTGGACGACCAAATACCTTTTGTGACCAGTGCGGGTGCGACTGGAAGCCTCAACTTTTTGAAAGATAATACAGACATTTATGTGGGTGACCGATCTACTGACAACACGAAAGGCTTTCAAGGCTGTCTAAGTACAATAGAAATTGGAGGCATTTATCTCTCTTACTTTGAAAATGTTCCTGGTTTCACAAATAAATGTCAAGAAGAGCAGTTTCTCAAAATCTCTACAAATTCCATGCTTATGGGCTGTTTGCAGTTAAATGCCTGCTACTCCAACCCCTGTTTGCATGGAGGAAATTGTGAAGACCTCTACAGCTCTTATCGCTGTTCCTGTCCCTTGGGATGGGCAGGAACACACTGTGAACTCAACACTGATGAGTGCTTTGCAAACCCCTGTATCCGTGGCAACTGCTCCCACCGAGCTGCAGCCTCCCATTGCAGGTGTGAGTCTGGATACATTGGTGTGAACTGCGACACACAGACGGACAATTGCCACAGTCACCAGTGTGCAGACAGGGCCACCTGCGTGAGTGGCACTAGGGGCTATTCTTGCTTCTGTTTGGGAAATTTCCCAGGAGAATTTTGCAGGTGAGCCTCAAAGTCCATGCCATGCTTGGTTTTTGGAACTGTACCCTACATTTTCTTTGCCAAATTGGAAAGCGCTCACCTCGAGGTACACATACACATTATCCTAAACAGGAATTACCTTTGGCCACTTCCATCACACTTGGGCAGTATAAAGACAAGATTTATTTTGCTGAAATTTCCTACAAGTATAAAGTTTTTTAGCCGGACAGTAAACAGTGTTCTCTCAGTTAGCTTTGTTAGAATATATCTTGTGAATTAGGGCCCAGGGTCTGACAGACTAGGAACTCAGGAAACTAACACATTTACAATAAATGTAAAAATCTGAATGTAGCCTTGTTAGGGAAGGCAAGACTTTAATACCCTAAGTTTTATCAGTTGGATAAATCTATAAAATCCTAAAATGACTACATTACAGCATTATTTCAAAAAGGTAAAATTGACTGCCAGCAAAATATAAAAGGAATATGTTTTTATAATTTTATTTGCCATCAATTAATGAGAAAACTAGTAGCTATAAAAACCAGTTCAAAGGAAAATATGAGGAATATATATTTATATATAGGACAAAAATGAATGTATTAGTCACTTTCCTGTCACGAGAGCAAAATATTCACTATTTGGAATTTAAAGGAGGAGAGGTTTATTTTGGTTCATGGTTCCAGTGGGTTAAGTCAAAAGTTGGCTTGCTCTAAGGCAGAAAGGGCATGCACAAGGGCTGAAGGAGGGCAGCTCTCTATCCCATGGCAGCAGTAGAGCAGAGAGAAGAGGGAAGAGGCAAAGACAAGAATATACTCTCCCAGGTCAAATACCTGGCAACCTGCATCTCCAGACCAGACCCTACCTCCAAACACAGAGGGCATTTGGGAGACGTTTCAGGTCTAACCATAGAAATGAGGAAATGAATTTGCTAATAAATGCAAAACTGCCTACTAATTTATAGGAAAAAATAGTGTTTATATAGTCATTTCTATATTGTGCCAAGCAATCACACTGATACACATTCATTTGCACTTTGATAAAAGTCATTTATGGTAGTAACATTTTCTACAATTTACAGAGGTATAATATTGCTTAGTAAAGAAAATCAAAGGATATGCTGCTACAGAATCAAATAATACTGGGAAATCCTCTTTGGGACATCTAGCATTCCACTGAAGAAACATCTCACCCCATTCGCCTATTTCAACATATTTCATTTTTTTCTGAAATTATAAAATCAGTATTTTATTGCGAGTCATAAAAAAGAGATAAGAAAGATGTTTTCCTTATAAGTCACACTGCTTCAATATTTCCACATAAGTGGAAGTCATTATTGTTTTTACAAAGTGTACTGCTTTTAATTTACTAAATAAATGGGACATCATCTGGAGGTGAGGGGGCCTCATTAACAAGGAATACATTCCAAGACTTCGGCAAGACCAGCTGGAGTGGGCTGGAAGCCTACAGATATTACACTAATTCAGAGGTAGTACCCTAATTACATGAAGATCTTAACAGACATACCGTGTAGCTATGCCCATACAAAACTGTATGTTTCTTCATAACAGCTATTGCTGAAATAAAGCCTATGGTGGCCAGGTACAGTGATAAGTGCTAAGCGTTGACATTCTGGTGAGATGTTACTTCCCATGAGTCAACCAATGCATTTGCCAAAAAGTAAATGGCCTGATTAAAAATGAGAAATTCTGGATCAAAATCGGTGGTGTTAAATAGTGATGCTGGATAAGTAAATGTGCATGCCTTAGCAGCTAGTTCTCCAGAACATTTTTCTGCCTAGTTCATCAAGGTCAAGTTCTCAGAGACTAAAGTTCTGAAAGTACCTTCTATTGAGATACAAAAACTGCTTATTAAACCTAGGATACAGACAAACTTCACATTTGTGTTGCTAATTGACCTTTTACAAAGCTGATTAATATTTCTGACTCCTTTGAAATATCCTTAAGTTATCTTCTTTTAAAAGCAGAATTGATTAGCTCTTGTGAGAAGAGACAAGCTTACCATCTTCTAGTCTAGTTTCTCCATATTAGCTGCAATGCACATGACAGGACAAAATGAAATCCATTTTAAATTTCTTGAATAGTTTTTCTACACTGTACCTGACACCATGCACATACATAGTGAGTCAAAGTACCTGAGTGACATTCTTAAAAACCTTTTAAACATCAGTCCCTTCAAACCACAGGATGAAGTTCTAGGTCACTTTAACAATTTGTTCTAGCTTTTATAAGGATTTTTAAAATCATGCACACTCAGAATTCAATGCATTGACCACTGAGTATTATAGACAGACCTCCTGAACAGTTCTTGGCTTGTGTTCCAGAAAGTTATGAATTATGACAGAGGAAGCAGGAAGTCTTGGCAAGGCAACTGAAGTTCAGCTCTGAAAGCCATCAGAGAAATCATGGGAGAGCTTGGGTACCAGAGTGCTGTCCTTGCTTTCCTGCCCTTTACAGAGATGCAGTTTTCCTATGGCCTTTGTTGATTTATGAAGAAAGCAGCAGCAAATATAGCTCTAGCAAGTTCCTTTCCAACCCTCAATTTATTGCAACCCTATGGCATAGATCTTATCTTACCAATGAAAACTGTAGGATGAAAGATGGATAGTCATATCCACTACAGTACCCTCTAGAGTGGGCTCTGCACTGGAGAAAGTGATACTTGGACAATGTGGCACAGATCAGCATTTGTAGGTCCTCCAGCCTGACGTCTTAATTAGCTTGGGGTGGATTACATATGTGAACCTTTCAAAAGTTTTGTTGAGTGAAACGAACAACATGAACAGCTGTGGATGTTACTTTTATCTCTGTAGACACAGCAGATTAGCCTCAAAAGTCTGTGGGAACTAGAGCGCAAATCTTACTTGTTACAAAGGAGGGAACTGCTCAGAGTTCCACGCTGAATTAAAATGCTGGTGCTGGCTGGGTTTTACTGGAGAACGGTGAGTTGTGTTACAACTTTATGGATGAAAATGCTGGACGAAAGAAGGGTGGGGTTGCTCACAGTTCATTTTCTCCTCTAATTGTACATCTCAGTTCCCATAGGAAATTCTGGGCTGAAACACAGTTCCAGACAGAGTCAAGCCATAAAAAAGAAGATAAATTACAGCGTGGGTCAAAGAAGAGAACATTTTATTAGCCAAGATCTTGAATAGGGAAATATGTTTTGTAATGTGCTATTTTTTTCTAATAAATACTTCTGGATTCATGATTTTCCCCACTAACTCTAATACATAATGGAAATGCGGTTGCCATTGAAGTAAAAGAAACCCGAAAGATTGCCTTGTAGAATTACCTACAAACCCCAAAGTCAAGCATATTACCCAGATGATTCTGCTTTTCCTGTAGAAACCCTTCAACTCTCCTTTACCTAATGAACGGCTTCATACAATCTGTAACCTGATGAAAATGTAGGTGAAATACATAGGATATCTATAGGACAGGCCAGAAATGGGACTGAGAGAGGAAAAGCATGTTTTCTATAACTTTTATCAGATTCCCAAAGGAACCTGCCTTTGAAAGGGGTGCAGACCTGGGCTTTGTAGGACCCAGATGTTGCAGAGACAGATGCACATTACCATTGGTTTAGCATTCTGCCCTGCACTTACAATAGTGTTCCTAATTCTCAGAACTCTGCAAGGAAATTTTTATTGTTTTTATCTTGCAAACTAAGGCCGAGTTGTTAAGTGGCAGATTTGGTGCCAACCCAACTGTATGCTACAGTAAGGCTGAGCTGTCTCTGAACCCTCTGCTTGCATAGTTGTATGAATCAATCTTCCCTCATCACAATTAACACAATAGAAAAAGTGTTCTTCCTTCTCATATATCACCCAGAATGAGGTATCTGATCTGCGATTATGTGCACTAAACACATTTGAAAATGTCAAACACAACTGACACACATTTTTCTGAATTAATTTCCCCTTAAAAGTCATCAACAAAATGATGGATACCTGTGTGCTCCAGTTGTGCTTTGGACTAATTTGAATTTTCCGTTTTTCAGCTGGCTCTTTTAGCATCACATAGCCATAGCTGACTTGCCACTTTCATAAAACAGCAGGAAATCCAGGCCATACCTGCATATCACCCTTGTAAAATGCTAGGTGATAGAGGCAGGACAAGTATACATGAGCTTGGAAAGAGACAGAGTTAAGCCACATGCTGGTCTCCATTATATCCATGTATTCCATGCAACTACTAACTCAAAGATCATTCACTTGACCTCCAGTTCCATATCTTCAAAACACTGGTGCTGTAGATATTTCTTTGTCTTCAATATCGAATGACTCCTTAACTATCTTTAAGTTGCTTCCTGGCTTAGTATCAGTTTCTGTAAATGCCACAAACACAGAGCTCACCCAAAGTTTTGGATTCTTTTCTTTTTTTCTCTCTGCTACTCATGTACAGCATTTACAGCAAACATTGTTACGCTTTCCTCTGATTTGTATTCATTTTAAAAATTCACCTTTGGTATTTAAGTTATTGATTTAAAACACTGAAAACAGAGAAAGCTCATACTTTTACTTTCTCTCCTAGGAGACTTTTCATTTGGACAAACTTCTCTGCTGCAACATGATTTCTAAAATAGTAACCAGTGTTCGATAGTTTCTATACTTTCAAAGTTTAGTTTGTTCACTGGATGCTAATGGATTTATTCTGCCTTTCTATGCATTGATTATCTTCTAATGAAAGCTCCACTGATGTGTATAATACAACCATATATGTCACTCACGGTTTACTACAAAATAGAAATAGGTAGGAAATTGAGAAAAAAGTAGCTAGAGAAAGACTAGAAAATTTGAGGCCATTCCCAAGGACTAGGGAAGTGGAGCTTCCGTAACATACAAGGATAGTGAAAAGCTATCCTCTGATGAGCTGGTTTCTCTTCAGCCTGATTAAGCCTTCGGCTTTGTAGCCTTGTCCTGGCAGGTTGTGAATGATGGATCGTCTGAACGCTCAGGCCCACCCAGGACACGGAATACTTGGCAGGCTCTTGTGAGTTGTCAAGTTTCACTCAGCTCTAATCAGAGAAGTCTTTTTCCAGCCCAGGAGCTGAAGCCAAAAAGTGGAAATAAAACGCCTTGGCTACGCTTGGTATCTCACAGGAGAAGGGGCTGTTTTTCCTAGGAGAAATCTTCCTTTTCTGTTATACTTTGGGTTGCCACAGCCACCGACCTTCATCCTTCCATGCCCAGCCTCTGCATGTTACGTTCTAATCTTGGGAGGTGGGAAATAAAAAGTGTAACTTCCACATCACAAGATCGCTGAAGAGATTCTTGAAGCTGAGATCTTACATGAAATTTCCTACAATGATATAGGTGTCTTGGTTGCTGCTCTACCCCATGGTCTTAGGAGAGTGTTTGGCGTGTGGTAAATAATTACAGAATTACGGGTGTCGTTGAATGGATCAATGCCTATGCAGAAAAGCAAGTTGTTGGTACACATAATGATGATTTACACATAATGATAGTTTAAAAAGTGACATTAAATGAATTTAAAGGATTTCGCCAAAAAGAAACAATAAATGTTTGAAGAGATAGATATGCTTAACTTGACAGATCACACACAATATGTGTGTGTGTGTGTGTGTGTGTGTGTGTGCTACAGAAGCTCCATTTCCCATTATTATATACAATTTTTATGTTTTATGCTTCGGGAGAAAAACAAGTTGGTGGTGGAAAATTAGGTAAAAAAACAATGTCTCAATGAAGAAGAAAACTTCGGTTTACTTTATAGAATTGATGTTTCTTCTTTTGGAAAGTTTGACTTGAAAGTCATTTTATCAAAACAAATTATGCTTAGCTTTTGGAACACAGATTTTTTTTTTTTTTTTTGGCAAATGAAATCTACTGTCTACTTTTGTTTATGTTATAAATGGAATTTCAACGAAAAATAATTTAGAATCTCCCAGAATTAACACTTTTGTGTGTGTGTGTGTGTGTGTGTGTGTGTGTGTACAAATTATTTCTATGAAAACCGAAACTGTGGAAGAGATTTGAAGGAACATCTCCCCTCTTACCAAGCGTAAAACTTGGGGAATTGGTAGCTAAGACTATGCTGTTTTAGGTAGATGAGGCAAATTGTTTCTCTCCCATTTCACAGCCCACCTACTCAACAGGACTCTGGGTTTCCAGTGTTTGTGTTTATTTTCAAGGTGCGAGCAGGACACCGATGCCTGTGCCTCGAATCCGTGTCACCACAGAGGCCTGTGCCGCGACTTGCCCGATGGGTTCCAGTGCCTCTGTGAAGCGACCTTCGCCGGCGAGCTCTGCCAGCTGGACGTAAGCAGCCTGCCCCTCTTTGTGTCTCTCTTGCTGTGGCAGAACCTCTTCCAGCTGCTCTCTTACCTGGTCCTGCGCCTGAACGATGAGCCGGTGGTGGAGTGGGGTGAGCAGGGAGATTATTAGCGAGTGTTTGAGCCTTCCCGAGAGTAAAAGCCAGTCGTTGAGTTTCAAGAAATGGCTTGACTCATTTTGGATCTCTAAAACAGAAAAAAAAAAAAAAAA